TTCAATTATAGGCTCACCAGAGCACGCAGGGTTGTGGAGGGCATACTCTCCAATAAATGGTGCTTCCTGTTCAGGTGGGAATGGGGCCTAAAAATACCATAGAAATACATTGGACGCAGTTTTGATCCGGTCTGCACCTGCTCTGCTCTGCACCTGCTCTGCACCTGCTCCGCGCTTGGTGTGAACTAGCCCTAAGTGAAATGACATCCTTTCAATAGCATGCGTAAGAGATGTCGTTTTTAGAACTTTAGTGTGCAAAACAAAACAAGAAAAAAAAACAGTGTTAGGCAAGTGAATGTGAATAGGTTGTGTGGGTAAGGGGTTAAGTGACGGGAAGGATAAAAGAATACGGTATAAATGGGCCGGTAGTTACTAGATCACCAAAGAGAAAGAAATGGTAGTAAGGCATATAACTGAAAAAAGTGGGGAAGGCAGAGAGGAGATGGGATAAGGCAGGGGCGCCCACTATTTTTCGTCTGGAGATCTACTTTTCAAATGACGAGCTCATTGAGATCTACCAACGAAAAAACACTTGCATTCAGGGGCGGGAGGGGGCGTGGGCTGCGCAGGCAGGCCCCTCGCCCACAGTGCGATCGCCTGCATTAGTGCCTGTGTTCCAGTCCAGTGCGATCCGCAAAAATGCTGCAAGCACTATTTTTGCAGATCGCACTGGACCGGAATGCAGGTACTAATGTGCCTGCGTCCCGAGTGCGGGCGATCGCACTGTGGGCGATGCCATTGACTTCAATACAGCTCCACACCCCCTCCCGCACCAGAACGCAGAGAGTCGGCCTGCTTACATTCCAGTGCATTCCAGCCGCTGTGACAGAACGGACGAGCAGTGAGGGGAGAGTGAGGCGCCGGCTGTCAGATCCTGGCCGAGCGTCTCTCTCTCCTCACTGCTCTGCATTAGTTAGTGACAGCGGCTCTGTCCTCTGCCCTCCCCCGCCGCCGGTTCCTTCACTTCTTCTCGGATCCCCGCTGGGGAGAGCAGCGGCGATCCAGAGAAGCGGCCGGAGGAGAGGACATGGCGATCTACCAGTGACTGGTAGATCGCAATCAACCTTGTGGGCAACCCTGGGATAAGGTTTCCCCATCAGTAGCAGATCAGCGTTCTCCTATCTAAGGGCAAGATAGTCAGGGGACCGAATGTATTCAATCCAGGGGAACCAGGTTCGAGCGACTGAGGCAGAGGTATGTTTAATGGAGCTCGTGAGATCTTCCATGATGTATATATCATGGATACGGTCTAGAACTTGGCCTATGAGGGGGGCTTCTTCCAGAGGGCTGGAATACATGCCCGGGCGGCATTTACCACGTGTCTAATCAAGGAATTGGTATAAGAGCGCAGCGGGATGGTGTTATGGGGGAGGAGAAAGAAGGTCGGGTCCTCGGGCACCTGGACATCCGTACATTTCTGAGCAAGAGCGCGCACTTTTTCCCAAAACCGTCGGAGGGTCGGGCAGGACCAGAAGATGTGTAGCATTCCTGCCCCGGGTTGTTGGCAACGCCAACATAGGTCAGGTGACTCAGGGAATAGTGCGTGGTGGGATTGTGGAGTACGGTACCATCTAGTCACGATCTTACAGCCCGACTCTTGGTATCTATTACTGATGGAAGAACGGTAGGAGAGTGTAAGTAACTTCTCCGTAGTTTCCGGGGTAAAGCAGATCTGTAGTTCTCCCTCCCATCGTGATATAAACCACAAGTGATCTGGGTCCGGTGGTTGGATCAACAATCTGTAGCAGAAGGAAAGTGTGTGTCGGGAGGGCTCATCTTGTGAGCAGAGTTGCTCAAATGGTGGTAAATCTCCCTTTGATCTCCTGTCACAGAGCAGCCGTGCCGGTCCCGGGTACTGCGGGTCTCGAGACATCTAGAGACGCCCGATCGCTTAAAGGCAAAGTGGCCAGCCGTGTAATTACAACGGCCAGCTGGGAAGCTATTCGTCGGGAAGCCCTGTGCGTGTGTATATGTGTGTGTATATAAATATATATATTCCGATTATATATATTTTTATATCAGATTGGTTACCTAAGTTACCTGAAGAAGCACATAAGCGAAATAACCTTGAATATGCAAGCCTTGGAAAAACCTGAATTGATCAAACATACAAGGATCTCTAAAGACCAATATGGACAACAATAGATCTTTTACATTGGTATTTGTATGTAATTTGGCTGCATAACAAGGAATGATGGAATTGTGGTTCCTATCTGGGTTTTTAACTTTTATATGTATTAGTATTGTATTAAATTCCGGGTACATATGGACAAACTACATGTTTTTTTTTTAAATCTAAGCTTGCAATGGTATGCACCTCTTTAAACCCCATGCTTAATTTTTCGTATATTTACACTCCCTTGCTCACACCACCTCACCTGCAACACCCCTCCCCCCAATGCACAATGTACCATAACCTTGCCTGTTCTGGGATGGGCACATTTGTGCTAGTCATGAACAAAGTGTTCCTAGTCAAAATATTTTGCTTTTTTCTCCTCTCTTCTCAAACAATTTGTCTCTCTGGCACAAAGATATGTTTGATAAAGCATTACAAAACTTTGCTAAGAGGAATATTGTTGACCTCGTCTGAAAATACTGGTTGCTGGGGCAGTACTACTTAATATTACTTTAATATTACTTTGACTAGGGATGTACCGATACCGTATTTTTCTGTTGAGTACAAGTACCGGTGCCGTGTGCCCAGATTAGCAGGAAGTCAGGCAGATCATGGCCTGTCACCCAGCTTCATGATTGCCTGTGAAGCCGGTGTTCTAGCGAAACATCACTGGCTTCACTTACTGAGGGTGCCTGGCTTCCTGACCAATCAGGAGGCTGGGCTGCGAGTCATGAGATGCCATCTGGCTTCCTGATTGGTCAGGAAGCCAAGCTGCCTAGCAACTGGTGAAGCTAGCTTTCTAGCCATTCAGGAAGCCATACAGCATGTCTTGACCCGCCTCATGGCTTCCTGCATGGCTGGGAAGTCGGCTTCAGTTGTTCCTAGGCAGCCTGGCTTCCTGACCAATCAGGGAGGCGGGTCATAACCCACTGCCTGGCTTCCTGATTGAAAGGGAAGCCGGCTCCATGCTCCCTCTGCATTTGTGGGCAGAGGGAGATCTCGAATAGGGCCAGAACGCACTGGGGCTGGTTTGAACAAGCCCAGGAGTCCTACAGGGTTTTTCAAAATGGGTGAAACATTTGCAGAAGGCAGGAGAAGTGAACAATTTAGGCCAAAATAGCTGATTTGGAAAAAATTCTCAAATTCAGCTCACTTTGCAGCTCAGCTATGTCTTCCTTGATTGTTCACTTCTCCTGCCTTCTCCAAACCCTTCACCTTTTGTGAATAACCCTGCTAGTAAATAAATAAAGGTATGGACATCTCGGTCGATCTTCAAACAAATCACTGGAGCACCAGACCACTCCTCAATCTCACCTGGCAGAACCATTTTGTGACTGATTTGTTCTCTGAGAATTTGTACAGAAAAATAGCGCATGCAGCATTTTTTCTGACTGCACCGGACCGGAACGCAGGCATTAATGTGCCACGCAGGCAATCTCATTGCGGCCAGGGACCGTGGCTGCGATGCCATTGACTTCAATGCACCACTATGCTCCCTCCCACCCTAGATCGCAGGGAGCTGGCCGGTATGTGGTCCAGTACATTCCAGCACCGAATCGGGCCGGAAAGCACTGGGGCTGGTGAAAACTAGCACTTAAGAACTAACATGGGCAACCTAAGGAGTTAATGCTTTGGGAAGATCAGTGATTTCTCAGTGAATCTGTAGAATGTAATTGCCACACATATAATGGATAGTAACTCAGGATGTTTTATAGATAAGTGAGGAAGTCATATAATAGATTAATATACATCATAATGGTTATATTTTATGGCTCTTATAGCTGCCACTGCAATTTTGTTTTCTTGTTGTTTTGCAGGTGTTGAATCTATCAGAAAAGTGTTACGAGCTTTCCCGACTTAACACAAAGGTATTTAAAATAAAAAATATTTTGCGTTTTTCATAACTAAGAAATTAGTTAAAATAGTATAAAACACTCTCAAATTTATTTTTCGGTATTGAGATCCAGATCAAAGTAGGGCTGCAACTAACGATTTTGTTTTTTTGTTTTTTTTTTATAATTGGGGGGTGCTTTTTTTTATTGTTTTTTTTAACTTCACTGTTAAGGGGCTTTGGGGAAATATCAGGAGTCTAAACAGGGCAGAGGAGGGGTATAGGAGTTGGGGATTACATACAGAGGACGGGTATAGGAGTTGGTGGAGTAGGTACAGAGGAGGGATATAGGAGTTAG